TTTTTTTAATGGGTTTTCTCTCGCTGTGCAGTAAGGGCGGCTGTGGGAAGGCCCCGGCTGGAGACAGGCTGCCTGGATTTAACTGCGGTAACACGCTCTGTCACGGTGTGATCTTAGGCCACGCAGCGCATTTTCCGTGTGAAACAGGAATAGTGGCAGCACACCCCGTGGTTGCTGCTGAGGTCACGCAAGGCGACATGCAGGCGCGCTCACAGTCGAGCCTGACCCACGGTGAGGACACCGTGCAAGCTCGAGTCACTAACACCGCTAACAGCGACGGCGTCCGAGGGAAGCCTGTGATTAATGTCATCGCTGACTACGGCTCACAGCACCCAGGGCAGGCTCAGGGTCACTGAGCATCTTAAGCATCCTCAAGAAAAGACAGGGCAGACGGGCCTGGAGGCGGAGGCCGCTCGCACGGGGCCGGAGAAGCGGAAATGTCGCGCCGCTGCGCAGCCACGCCGCAGCGGGTGAGCGTGTGATTACGTGGCCTCGCGCCAGAGGGGCCGCAGCGAGGCGGGTGTGGGAAAGCAGGACACGGTGACTCTACAGACAGGACTTACTGCGAAGTCAATGGAAATGATAAAAGTTTAATTATAAAAAGCGTGTTCTCTAGGGCCTCCCTGGGGGTGCCGGGGTTCAGTCTCAGCCCCGAAGCTGTCGCAGCTGCCGCGGCAGGAGTCCGGGCCCCGGCCTGGAGCGACCCCCGGGCGCAGCAGACCCCGCCTGTGTCCCCGCTGCCCCTCAGCAGTGGGAGTCCTGCTCCGCCCCGCTCCGCCTCTGGTGAACCCTGTCCCCTGCCCCTCCGGCGGCACCCCAGCTCCGGGGCATACATAAATAAAAACAGAGCTTAAAGAGTGGGAGCGCACCCTTGCAGCCTCCCCGCCCCTCGCCCCGGACGACCTAAGGACAGCGGCGGCCGAGGGGCAGGCGGGTGAAGCCAGGTGACCAGCTGGACGCGCTTGGGCCCAGCCCGCGCAGGAGAATGTCAAATGAGGACGCTGAGGGCAGACGGCCACGCGTCGTGCCCAGCGGAGCAGGACCTGGACATCGGCCTGCGGAAAGGCCCCTCCGGGGCTCCGGACCGCGGCTTGTGGGGTCACCGGCAAGCGCGGACGACCTGGCGCTCACCTGCGTAAGAGGGCACCCTGATCTGGGCACTCGCCGGGCCGTCCCCGCCTCCACTGTACGCCCGGACTTCGATGATGTAGACGCCGGCCTCGGGGAGCAGCACCAGCGCCCGGGGCTTCTGCGTCTGGATGACCTGGCTGCTGCTGTGGCCCTCTTGCCTGTAA